TGCCTTGGCGAACGCTCCCTCAAGGACTTTGAGGATGTCGGGATGCTGTATTGTCACCGCGAAAGTTGGGACCGGCTCGATTAGAGCTTGAGGCCCCGGCTGATGCAGGCGTGAGGTCTCCTCAATGTCGCAATGACGGGATTGAGCTCCGTACAGATGAGTTGACTCGTCGTGACAGGAAGAAGTCATTATTTGGTGAGTTTTTGTGAGAAAATGAGAGAAAAGAAGATGAAATCAAGAGTAGTGTTCCACAAAGTCGAACAAGTGACACCAAGAAAATTATGGTGTCCTCTTTTTAGCGCCAAACTGTTGTTGGACGGATCCGATGAACGGCTAAAATAAAGTTTTATAAGGATTAAAAAGAGAGAATAAGGATGATGTACGGGAAAATAGAGTTTTATTACTTAATTAAGAGGTCGGCCTATGATAGTGAGATCGACACTTCGATTAAATACACTTGGAAATAGTTATGGGAATTTATTACAAATTCTAGAGAGAGAAAATAGTAGTTGATGATTTCAACAACCCACAATAAATGAATTGGGTCTTCTGTTTATAGTACTTCCAATTTCGTCACTGTTTAGGCATTGTTCAACTGTCTCGTCGCACATTAGCTCTGACGGGTAGGTCGGCGCTTCTCTGACAGACATTAAATTCCATTTGAGGTTTCTTCAATCATTACCTGTCAGGCATTTAATGCACACATGGGGAGCATTAAATGCTGATAGGCCTTCCTGTCATGCTAGATACCATAGGGCGATAGACTAGGGTGGCTAGTCCCATCTGCAATCATTAGCTGCCAAGTGGTAATATTATATTATTTTCAAGCCCTTCATCCACGCGAGAGCCGAGCCCAGAGAATTTTCAGGTCAGACTTTCGACATTTACTGGTTCCCCAGCTTTCGAGAACCTATTTCTCTGTTCGGCATCCACGGAGGTCGGCATTACAACTAGAATGTGTGTTGGTCGTCTTCCTGGTTTAATTCCTCGGAGAGTGTGTTGGTCATCTTTCTAGTTTACCTTCTTTTTCGGTCAGCTTGGCGCTTCGCATCGACTCGTTGTCCGGTCCGGACTCTAAGGTCGTCTTCTTTCGGTTCTCTCATTATTGAACTGTAAATCTCAGGCCAGGTTAATCTGGGTATCAACACATATTTTTTAAAGCCTCGTACATGTCGAGGAATTTTAGGTTAGTGAATGTTTGTAATAGATTACAAGAACAACAAGATGCAGTATAGCTTTATGCTTTCTAGAGCGAACATGTACGACTCTTCGTGGTAATATGATCAAAATCGTAAATATGTTATTTGTTGTATTCCTGATGAATACGATGGACACAAATTATCACCGGACGATGAAGAGACAATTGGACCACCTTGACAGACAGCTCGGTCGCTTCGAGACAATCGCGAGCAGCGCACATGGGTGTGCATCGCAAGCTAATTAGAAAAAAACAAAACATTATATGATCACATATCAAAGGTTGGATCAAATTTGAAAATCGTCCAATATACAAACTCTAATTTTGTTGAATGTCAAGATAGCAAAAAATCTACTGCGGGCTATATTTTTCTGTTTGCTGGAGGAGTTGTGTCTTGGAGGAGTGCTAAAAAGTCTATTACAGCCTCATCTACCATGGATGCATAATTTATAGCATGTTATGAAGCGTCTAACTATGGAATACGACTTCGAAATTTTGTCATGGGGTTGCGTAGTGTGGATGGTATCGAAAGGCAACTACAATTATGCTGCGACAATAAATCGATTGTGTTGTACTCCTATAACAATAGAACTCTATGAAGTCAAAATATATTGACATTAAACTAGTTCATAGTTGTCAAACAAAGAGTTCAAAGTGGATAATTGTCTATTGAACATATTGATACAAACTCCATGATTGTGGATCCACTACTAAGGTTTGTCACTAAAACATTTCATGAGCTTACAACTCGTATGAGTGTTATACATTTGAAAGATATTTAACTTTAGTGGGAGTTTGTGATGTTATTTGATATATATATATATTTTGATTTACTTCATTTTCTTATTGATATTTTGAAATTATTTCAACATTAATTTTAGTTTTATGTTATTTCACGCTTTGATTATGACATATGGTTGGTCACACTATGGTTGTAAAATGCATGTTATAATTACATTTCATATAATTTCCATGTTACACATCTACATCATATTCAATGTCATTTATTTGTATTGACATTGTGACTATTGATGGGCCAAGCTATGATAAATATTGTAATAAAGGTTGCTTTGATCCTATGTTGATATGATTGATGGACCGAATTGGTTAAAGATACTCATACGTTTGGTTATGACAACAAAGTTGAGCTCATAAAGTTATTTTGCTATACATAATTATAAAATTACACATATAGCCAAGTAGGAGATTGTCGGGTCATTAATCCAACATTCGGCTTATATGTGAAATAACTATTGTATTGTGACTGTCAAATAAAGAAGCTCAAATAAAAGTGATCAATTAAGATTTGTGTTATTAGACTTTAAATTATCTATAGGTATGGGTCTTTAATTTGTAGAGGCTAATGGACTGTCTCTATTTTAATGATGAGCTAAAATAAGAATATCTAATATAACTTAGTTTGTATAAAGGGTTATAGGCTCTAGGTCATATATATCATCCTCTTCTACATCCCCTCGACAGAGAGTTACAGAGAAAGTTAGAGGGTTCTCCCCAAGATTACGTACGTGTAGACCCCAATCCTAAATCAAATTGTCTATGGATTCAGGTATACTTCTGCTATTAAGTTATGACTCTCCATCATTCAATATGAATGTTTTTTAACTAAAGTGATCGTTTTCGCCTAAACATAGTTCCAACCTAAAAGGTCAAACTAGGGAAAACGGAAGGGCATATGATATATATGTAAACAGAGATATTTTAATAGGACTTTTCTTTCATCTATAGACTAGGCTAAGAGGCTTTAACTAACACATGTTCATAGTTTTGCTAATCATGTAGTTACCTACTAAATTATAATCTTAGCCTCAATAAGCATGAATATACTGAAAAATGTAATCGAATCGTACATTTAAGTATGTACTTTTTTTTCCTGTATGTATAAAAAGGCCCTAAATGGGCTCAAATGTCACAATCCACAAGTACAATGTCTTGAATACATCAAGTCAAACGAAAAGCAAAACCAAAAACGAAAAAGAAGACAAGAAAAGGCTGGTAACAACTGCCAGTAATATAAAGATAATGTCTCCTGGTCCGGAATGGTCGAGGCAAAAAGTCAGCGTCGCGGGACAGCGCAAGAGCGGATGCACCAAAAGTAGGACTGGCTACACAAATCTTAATGAAAGGTATCACATCCGGTCCATCCATATAAGGGTATGGAGGCGGAGAGAAATAACGTTAAGATAAAGTATGCGCCTCTGGGAGGTGGAGGACTCCATGCCTGTGAGAAAATCAGCAGGACGGTTCCCCTCATGGAAGATGTGCGAGATCTTAAACCGATTGACCGAAGAGTGGCCCTAATACGCATGAGCGGATGCTAAATCTGTCATGTGCCTTGATGGCCAGTGGGCAAGAGAGTGATAACAGCGGCAACGTCCAACTCTATCCAAATGTGAGAGGAGATCGAGACAGCAATATGAAAACCGATCTGAAGCGTCTGGATCTCTGCGTCGTAGCTCGAGGAGACCTGAAGAGTGGCATGAAAAGCGGTAATAAGAGCGTTGTTATGGTCCCTAATCAGACTCCCACCTCCAACGACTCCAGTAAGTCGGTCAAAGGATCCGTCAATGTTAGGCTTAACCCAGGGAGGCTCGGGTCTTAGCCAAACAACAGCTCTGGGGCATGTGTGTTGGACAGACGGTTGTGGGGGTGGTGCAAAACGATGAGGTGGTGCGCAACCTGTCCAGTCTCTCGGCGTGAGTCTGCCCAGAGCGGTGAGGAGATGTAGATGTCTGTCAACTTGCAAAATAATATATGAACACAAAAAGGTAATATCCTTATGCTTCGCATTATTCCTTTATGTCCAGGTGGACCAAAGGATCAGACAAGGAATAAAGAAGTCCACGTGTCTAGTGTGTGCTCTGTGTGAAAAAACTCAGAAGTTCAAAGAAGTTCTCTGTGGTGGGTAAGGGTATATGGGTGTAACTTGAATAATGCTCTCACACTCTCCTCACATTCTCACTCTCAAGAAATAAATGGGTGAAGGTCTTAGTCCGAAAATCGCCGGTCTCAGCACAACAACAACAACGTGAGGAGAATGAGAACCCCCTTGCCTGCATCATAGTGTCAACCGGTAGGCGGCGCAGAAGAAGGTGCCATAGAAAAACAGAGATGGTCGGGTAAGTAGGTCGGTCCAGATGGCCCCGAAGAGAATATTAGGCCGGTCTCCAACCATACTTTCTCTGAAGCCGAGGTCGTAAAGAATATACCCGAAAATGTAAATCTACACCTCATACCGTCCAAACCGTCCTCCGAGATGAGTACAACCTTAAATTATACCTATGTTTGCACAGGTTAATATATTACAAAAATCCTGATTCCACACAAATTTTTCGAATTAGTAAAAACAAAAAAGAAAAAACAAAAAAAAAAGAATAAATAAAAAATCATAATCAAAATATATGAATATGATAGACTAAACCACATAAAATTTACCACCTTTATTTATTTATTTATTTAGTTTGGTTTTGTTGGTGAATGCAGTAGGTAAAATGGTGGCCAACAATAGTTAAATATACAGTGTAATGGCGGTGGAATTCACACACAATCAATAAACAGAACACAGCCTTGCAATGTGTGGTGTTGACTTTGATATTATTATTCATTATCTCTCATTGTCATTACACAAATTTTATTATTTTCCAAATTAAATTGTGTGCATTTGGGCTCTCTATAAATAAATAGTCAGAGGCCTCACTTTGAGTAAGAAGTAGGTAAACCAATTAATCTTGAAGTTATCTGCCAAGTTGATGTTAATTTGAAGATGGACATGAAAAGAGCTACTATGTCAACCTTCTTTTTGCTCTCTTTTGTGCTGGTAATGTTTATGAGCTTTTTAATTTTCAGGCTTCATATATAATATTTTCAAAATATATTATTTAGCTATGAATATTAAAAATATATTATTTAGGGCTGTTTAGATGCTTTTAGTTTTTAGTATATATGTGTTTTTAGTTTGCGATGTAGTTCGTTTTCGTTTGTGTTTTCGCTTTTTCTCTCCTGTTGGAGTGTGTTTGATGTATTTTTCTGTTGGGAGTTTTTGGTTTATTCTCCTTTGGGGAGGTTTTTAATTGTGTTGTGTGTTGTCGTCTGACTCTAGGCTGCTACATGTAGTCCTCTCTATAAGAGTCAACTATTTAGCTTATCCGACTATTGGCCGGTTTATTCTGCTAATTGATTCCAAAAAACAAAGAAAATTGGAAGTCTATTCATTATTAGATAATAAAAATTTTCAAAAAGATGTTAGGTATGATCTTTTATCATCTAAATTTCTTAATTATGAAACTAAAATGGAATGCTTTTTTTATATATCTCCATTTCAAGGAAATAAGAAACAAGAGATTTCTTACACGTCTAAAAAGACCTTTTTTAATATGCTGAGAAACATCCTTATTAAGATTTGCTGAATAGTTGTTTTCTTGTCTCGATTTGTTGTGAATATAAGTTTTTTCTATCGTTCCGAAAAAAAAAAAAATGAAATTTTAGCACATATTATTTTTGTGAATGTTCATATTTGTTTTTTATATACTAATTAATGTACGTATCATCAGTTTGCCTACGTTGCTAGTGCAAGAAAAGATCCTGGTGGGGAGTACTGGAATCAGGTTATGAAAGGTGAGCCGATGCCTAAAACAATTGCAGATCTTTTGCAACCAAATCCTTCTACGGATTCGACTTCGCGAACAAGGGCTCGTTTCGTTAGAAATTTCGACACGAGCCCTAACCTTATAATATATCACAGCCACCATCATTTTCATCTTCAGCCTTCTGCACCTTAAGATGCAAGCATGTATGTGTGAATATATACACTGTCATAGTGTTGTAATGTCGAGTGAAAGTTGAGATATGTGCTGTGCACTAATTGTCTCACTTCAATATATCTGTTTTAATATATTTTATGAACAGTAGAATTGTTAGTAGTATTATGAACTTGTTTGCCAATATGGGGTTTGGTTTAGTGTTACCATATTGTGTCGACTGTTTTGACCAGCGGACCATATGTGATTTGTAAAATAGTATTTGGTAAAATTAATTGTTTAAAATTGCTTATAACGACATTCATATGTGTCGTCTGTCTTACTTGTGTTAAAATTACATAGAATATGAGTAATAATTATATTTTTAATATTATGTAAAGTAATTCAAAAAATATATTAAATGTTTGTATAAAAGTGTTTGGTAACTATGCAGTTTAATATCATATGTTTATGCGTAAAATTACTCATTGGGATATTTATATATTTTGATATGTTACAATATAACAATGTTGAAAATATGAATTATTTATATTTTTAATATCTATTATTAAAGAAAAAGAAAAACCTAAAAATATAAAAATAGTAAATAAAAAATATTCAGAATTTCTGCCTGTATAGGGAAATCTTCCCAAAAAAGCCAAATTATTTAGATAACATAATATATGATATAAAATTAAATGTGCAACTAATATTAGATTTAAAAATAAAATCATGTTTCTTTTCTAGAAATCCGCTTTAACTTTGGAATAAATTCTTAACATTTGTGGACTCTCTATTTACCATATGGTTTTTTTTTTTTTTTTTTTTGGGAACATAAATAAATTTATATCTGATTGTTCTATCTTTCAAAACATAAAAAGAATATATCACTAGTACAACGCCCGTGTATTACACGGGTGCTTGCTAATTTTTTCCTTAAAATCTAAAATTATTGAGAAAAAGTAGTTGAAAATTTAAATAACTTTTATAAAAATATATATTATTATATATTTAGTATGAGACTTTTATTTGTGTGACATACTTGTGTTATATTATAATAATTTTTTAACTTACAACATATAACTACATTAAACAAAAATATACCAACTGATAAATAATTTTATTTTTCTAATAAAATTTATAAATATTATTTTTTATTATTATAAAGGTAAATATTATTTATTTTTATATATACAATATGGATGTCAAATCGAAGATCATGAAAAGATGATTAATTTGATATATTATATATGTAAAACCGATAAGAAATACAAAAATTATCAACTTTTAAAAATACACTGGTACAACGCCCGTGTATTACACGGGTGCTTGCTAATTTTTTTTTTTAAAATCTAAAATTATTAAGAAAAAGTAGTTGAAAATTTAAATAACTTTTATAAAAATATATATTATTATATATTAAGTATGACACATTTTATTTGTGTGACTTACTTGTGTTATATTATAATAATTTTTTTAACTTACAACATATAACTACATTAAACAAAAATATATCAACTGAGAAATAATTTAATTTTTTCTAATAAAATTAAATAAATATTATTTTTTATTATTATAAAGGTAAATATTATTTATTTATTTTATATATACAATATGGATGTCAAATCGAAGATCATGAAAAGATGATTAATTTGATATATTATATATTGAAAACCGTTAAGAAATACAAAAGTTATCAACTTTTAAAATATATTTATAATTCAATAGCTAATTGAAGGAAACAAATCAAAAGTCAGGGATATATTAGTCACTTAGTGTCTCACTATGTAAAATTACAAAGAATTAAAGGGTTATATTAGTACGATATTAAAATATCTAAGTTAGCTAAATAATATTTATGGAATGTTCGAACCTAGATATTAATTATTAATATATCAATATTATTTGTCTGAACCTAATTACGATGCATGATTCTTCGCCAAGTAGGATTCCGAAGCACCAGAAGCAGCCACGTAGGCTCAGCGCATTCAGGAATTATATATAGGGGCGATTTTGAAATAATACCATTTTTTACTCTGAAGTACTAAAATTTTTCGATCGGGTACCCAAATTATATCCAAATATTATTTCAAATTATTTAATGCCATATTTCTAATGTCGCGATAAAAAGATTAGAGCTCTGCGGATAATGAAATATTTATATTTATTATGTATACTTACTACCAAATATTCTCATATCAAATAAACTATCAATTACCAAAAATTATTTTATACTTATCACCTAAAAAATAAAATCAAATCAACCACCAATCTATTACTATATAATAGAGAGAGAGAAAGGGAGAGAGAGAGAGAAAGAGAGAGATAAAGAGAGATTACTTAAAATAGTATTAAAATTTTTGTTTAAAAATTTCAAAGTTATAACTCTTTAGTAGTTTTTTCTTAAAAAAAATGGCGACTGAATGAAAATTTGAATTCAAATTAAAAAGAAAAAAATTGTTATTTGAGAAAGATATTGTGTAAACCTTAATTTTTAAAAATATGGGCAATGATTTCATTAAATGCTACAGGTAAATTTGACCAATAATGAGAAAGAAATTTGAAAATCTTTCTTCCAAACAATCCAATCAATCATTTCTCAAGTTATTTCGGTCCCACAGTAAAATTTGGTTACAAAGACCCGATCAATCATTTAACAAATGAAACGTTTGGAAAAGTCATGCCTTCTTTAATTATTTAAATTTTTTTTGAAACCTCTCAATGATGTTCCTCACAAACATAAAATAATATACATTTAACATTAACATTCATAAAAGTAATGATTAACATGTTATCCCAATTTTAAGAAAGTTAATTAAACTCACAAATATATTCTAAAAATATATAAATTCAAATTAAACAATTTTAATAACTCAAAAGTATAATTACATACACCCAACAAACAAAAAATGGTTTTGCACTGTGCTTACCATGCTAGTCTAACTTGTAAGTGTTTTTTTTATCAGGCTATATTCATGTTGGTGTTCGCATTCGATATTCTTATTGATGCCTTGTTTGTTGCTCTCCTCAAGGCTTATTTACCAAAGCAGCATGCTATAAGTACTTAATATTGCACACAGGAGAGTACACAACACTCACATCGAGTAAGTCCCACCAAAAATAAAAAAAATTAATAGACCACACTCCATGTGAATATTATGCACACCTTGATGTACATTTATTATATACTTGTACCATTTTTCTTTTGATTATCTGTACATCAGATCACGTTACTACAAATATGCTTCGATTCAACCCGTTACAAGCCGTTCATTATCAAATTAGTTCAAGAGAGTTCAAAATAATAGAAACAAACAACTGAATCAAATGAATATATAATCAAATATAGGAAGCGCAGGTTTTTAAGAGAAAAAAATAGGAAGGGCAACACACTACACAAATTCTCCCATCATACACACACTTCCTCAATTACGCTACAAAATGGTAGTTCGTTATATAACTTGGCGAACATAATCCAACAAAATATAGTTTTTCTATTCCTTTTTCTTTCTCTCGAACCATAAAATACAAAAAATAAAATTGGATGGAATTGAAAGATTTACCCGCTAGCAACTATTTCGTGGATGGCATCGCTTACATTTACATCATCGGATCTTACGGCCAACTTCATAGCCACCTCCTTTGACCCGTCAATACCAAATGACAACCGCACAAGCACCTTCACGTTACCAATGTAAACACCCGATAGCAAACATGTGTGTGATCTTGAGTTGCTGGAGACCACCTCTGTACCCTGGTAAAAAGCAAAAGTCATATTATTGTGTATGTATTCTTTTACCGTTCTTTCACTAACATAAAGATCAGATTAAAATAAATGCGGAATGCACACGCATTAGTTTGAATTGGTCTGCACAAAATGTGAACTATCATTCAATTCCGCCAACTAAATAAGTACACCAATGTAAATAAAAGGGACTTGCAAAATTATCACCAAGGCTTTGACTCAGTCATGCAAATACAATAAAAGCCCGTTTCTTTTAAAACAGTAAACATCGACGAGAGGTTCACATTTTCTTAACAAGAACCCTCGACTGAAGGAGAATTGCTTAACCATAACTTAAATTCAAGTGAATATTTAGAAATTTTTATTCAAAGCAGTGTTTAATACTTTAATAGATAAACTAGGGGTCATTTTATGAAGGTAGCTAGGTCTGGCCGTGGCACAAATGCCATCAGCCTAACTCGTTCAACAGAAATTGATAATTTATATATGAAGTTCAATCCTTATTTTCTACATAAATATATAATTATAAAATTCTAAAATCTAAATTCACCAATGTTCATATTTTGTAGCTAATTTCCCTCTTAAATGGCAAAAACAACCTCAATTTGATCCAAAAACTATTACAGCCACAATCCCCAAGCTTCATCAATGATACATGAAGCCTGAATCAGTGATTTAAGAGGATGAAACCTTGTCGTGTAGAATGGCGAGGCTTGGCCTCAGTTTGCCTGATACTTTGTTTTTAGTTTTGAAGTAAAAGCATATATAGATCATGAATTGTCTATACTTTCTTAAGTTTGCTATTGGCCAGCCTTGCTTTCATAAGGTGAATGTCTCGCCTCACGCCAAACCAAATAACAGGCTTGTTGTCTCCGGTCACCACATGCCTTTTTAATGACTTGGTTAAATTTTATCACAAAAAACTGTTTTGAGACACAGTTAAAACACTGACCTCACAAGGTTGCATGCCGAGAAGATTTATGACTGCATTTACAGCTTCAGACAGGCTTTCTCTGGGCCCGAGACCGTATTCATCTACGCGCTCAGACTCGGGATCCATGCTTTCCCAGGCGTTCTTAAAGTTTGAGACCCCAACTTTCAGAATATAATCAGCAGCCACAACCTCAAAATCCTCAAGCTGGTATTCGTCCTCCACACCATCGTCTTCGGCCTCACCAGTAGATGGATCGACCTAATCAAAATTTGAGCAGGTACTAAACCAGTAAAGAATATAATCCAACTACTGGGATAGGTAAGCATGCTGTCTAACTAAGAAAACATGGGCAGAATAATGAAA